CACGCTGTTCGGCAGGGGTTGATGCAGACTGCAAGGCTGACTTGTCTTCGTGCCTGTGGCCTGATGATTCACATGATGCCGTCTGGGTTTTATTGCGTTGATAGCGGGGTTTATTTTGCTGGCAGGGCAGCGCTCGTTTGTCCCAAGGTTCCTGATGCTAAAAGGGGGATTACTTTTAAAGGCTTTTTTTTTTTTTTTTTGGTTGTTGGTGGTGTGGCTTATAATAAAGGTATTTTTTAATTTAAAGAAGAAAGTAAAGCATATCCTCTCCCCCTTTCTCCTTTGGAGAGCAGGGAACAGAGCCTTTGTCGGTATCATAGTTCAGCTGCAGCTACGAGTGAGGCGTGCACCAGTGGAGTGAGATAATGACTGCGTGTGTCTGCATGCATCAAGGGAGAAAAGCAGGCAGGCATGGGGCAAGAGACGGCAAATATCCAGCTGAACCCGGTGCAGGATGCCAGGGGATTACAGTTACACAGCAACAGCAGGATTGGGGAAGCCCAAGGCCCTTGCTGCCATATTGCTGGGAGATGTGGGTAGTGTGAGAAAACGAGGGAAGGAGAACATCTGGTCAAGGTCGCTCAGAGGAGGGCTGGGAGGACGCCTTAGCTGGGTTCAACAAGTTGTACTGCTCTGAGGTTCCAGCCAGGGAAGAAGTTGGGGGCTGGTGAGAAGCATTTCCTGGATAATGAATGCTGCTGAGGCCTGTGGTCAGAGGGAGGGGTGGTTTGAATTCCTTGCTGGTGTATAGGCCTCAGTCTTGAGTCTTTGGATACGGTCGGGGTAGCTGTACTATTTCTGTGCTCCCTGTTTGCCTTATGGGAAGTGAGGCATTTCCAGCAGTAACAAATGATCCATACATTGGATCAAGGTCTGGCTCGCTGGAGGGGATGGGTCAGGCCATGTGATGCCTAGATAGTAGGAGACTGGGTAGGAGATGAATAGCGGGCAACAGCCAGAAGGGAGTATGAAAGAGGGTAGAACTAATCTCCATATAGTTTATGTATGTACCATGTAGGTAAGGGGTACCCACAAAGCAGGTACCCTGTGGTCCCTGCTACACCTAGAAGCGAAAGGCCAGCTGTGACCACTGCAAACCATGACAAATCAGAGCCCTGGGGTGAAAGATGTTCGAGTGACTGTGTTGAAAATGTGGAGAGCTGCGTTTTGTCCTCAGCTTTGCTGTACCTGCTGATGAGGGATGACCTGGCCTGGAGTCCTAAAAGTGCTTAGATGTCTTAATGCCCTTTTACAGGCAACCAGGTGCTTTGGGAGAACCGTGTCCTTGTGGTTCTGTGCCAAATTTCCTTGCAACAAAAATGAGGGGAGTGGTCACAGAGTGGCAGGGAGAAGGTCTAGACTGCCTAGAGTGTGTTCAGGTGTGAACACTACCTCAGGAATAATCAGCTCCCTGCAAGAAAAGGACCTTGTCCCCTTTGTCTCTGTCACTAACCTCGGCAGGAAGACAGCTCAGCCGGAGACATTTACATGATGTAGGTGGGGGAAACCATGCCTGAGAGTAATTTCCCCAGTTTCTGTTTAGTGGGGCCTAACTGGTAGCTGTGTGAGGGTTGTGCAGGCCTGAAGCACCTACGTGCTTGGCTCGAAAGATTGGTAAAGGTGGTATGAGCACTGGCAGAAGGTTATTGGCAAAAATTTTGGGCAGCCTTGGGAGCCACTGCTCCTGGAGCTGAGACAAAGTGAGAGACTGGAAGAGCTGTGACGGTAGGCTCCACAGAGCACACTTTCTCCTCTGCCAGCCTTAGGACAATAATTGGAAAGCCTTGGAAAAGAGGATGTTAATATTTTTGGAAAAGCTTCCAGTCCCTCCTGAGAGAGAAACATGATCTTTCCAAATTGTACCAACTGAAGAACTGGCTGTCTAACTGCCAACTCCTGAGTCACCTGCTCCGCCATGCCTGCCTAACACAGAGCTGGCTTAAATGCCACAAGCTTTAAGAATGTAGAAAATGTCAGATGCTTTTCACTGACACTTAAATTTCTCAGTCTGTGGGACTTGTGAGGTTGGACCTTCAAGCTTAAGCTTCCTCGATGGCTCTGAGGGCTCAGCAGTTTTTATTTTATTTTAATAGAGATTCACACATACTCAAGTTCCAGGGACTGTGCTTCATTTAAAATACCAAGTATTGCCACAGCTTCAATACGCGAGAAAGCTGGCAGCGTTCCTGCCACCTCTGAGGCAGGCTGCTGTGCCAGGTGCCCTGGGCCAGGGTTGGGAAGCTCTAGCCTGGGAAAAGCAGGCCTATTGCTGAAGAATGCTTGTTTTAACTGTTAGGAGTCACTGTCAGTATAGCTTATGGGCAGATCTGAGACGCAATTTATGGGAACTTGTCAGTTGGCATGGGGAAGAGTTAGACCCTTGTTTCATGACATGCCAGAGATCAGCAAAAGCTTTTCTGTAAAGCAGATCAACCCGAAATAACAGCCACTAATACAGCCAGTGTATTCATTGCTAATGAGCTGAACAGTTGATGCAGGTCAGGAGATAATACAGGGGAGGTTCTGACAGGCCCTGCGACTTCTAGTCACAGAACTCTTTCCTGCTGTACAGTTGCATCTCCCTTTCCAGGGTCTCTGTTACTGGTACCCACCCTTGTGGGATAAAAGCCCATTCCTTGCCCTTGGTGCGCTTGCACATGACACATATGAGCTGCAGCTGCTGTTCATGCTGAGAGAAATTGTGTAGAAAGCATGAATAACTAAATAATTGCTTTTTACTCTCACAGAAAATTACAGCGCCCCTTATCTATGCTGTTTCCGTTGCTGCCATTGGATCTCTCCAGTTTGGGTACAACACTGGTGTCATCAATGCTCCTGAGAAGGTGAGGGGCTGATGGGAAAACAAGGGTATCAAAAGGAGATGAGTGGTCTCCCAAGCAGCTAATAATTTGGTTATGGTTTATGAAGTCAAGAAGACATTAAAAACTCCCTCTCAACTACAACAATGGACAAGAGGGCAAAGTTTTGCGGAGGAGAGGGAGCAAGCAGAGAGGTTAATTCTCTAATTAATTAGGAGCACAGAGGGAGCAGGAGAGCTCCATCTGCCATTTCCTGGTGGGTCTATATTTGGTGCATGGAGGAATGTGAACCACTTTGGTTTTGAGTCAGAGCAAACCAGCCATAGCAGAAGGAATGTAGAGAGCAACGTGCAGAAGAAAAGTTGAGGGTTGATAGGGATTACAGTTGCTCTAGTTTATTCTATCTCAGGAACCATCATAGGCTATTTTATTCATTTATTCATTCCTTGTGTTAAATGTAGATTCAGTGCTTGTAAAAGGATTGTGACTGGAGCACTGATCAAATAGTCTCATGACTATAGCCTAAGAAAGACAAGATGAAGAAAATGAGAAATGTGGTTTTCTCGTAACTATAAGATGGTTCCTCTCTCTCAGGAACTGAGTCACCAATACCACATCCACCCTGTGTCCGGGAATAGATGTCACATCATGGGGGGTGGGGGGAGGTGCAAGGCAGGGGTCCTCCCTAGCTAATGTCCTGCTGCCATCTGCTGGGGGCAGACACTCGTGAGGCCATGTCCCTCTCAGCCTTTGCAGAATTTCCCTTGTTATTAAAGAGGATGCCTTGGAAATCAGCAACACAGCCCTGTCACATCCCCATGGGACAACAAAGGATTGTTGTACATAATGCTGGAGTTTTCCAGGCTTACCTCAGTGAAACTTGCTGTGTCTCTTAAACTATTTCCATCCCAGAAAGCCTGTTCCTGCTGCCAGAGTGCTGCTATTGCCAGAAATGTTCCTTTCTGTTTGCTTGTCATATTTTCTTGCTCCCTGTCACTCCTCAGTGGCTCACATCATCCATAAACATTTGGAATACAAGCCTGTTTTCCTTAATAAACACTGTCCCACCACACCATGTTCAGTGAAGCAATCTCTCCCTCGTTGTACTGCTACCCATCTACTGAACTTCGCAATGACAGTTCCTCTTTCTGCACCATCGTCTTCTACTTGTATGGCTTGTTTCTGCCTCCTGAATTTTTAGTGTCTGTCCTTCTTGCTTCCATGAAAACAGAAGGAAGGCCTCACAAGTAATTTCCCCTCTCACCAGTGCAACATGACTCCCACTGGATTGTAACTCTGTCTCCACCCGGTTTCTCTTGCAGATCATCCAGAGGTTCTTCAACAGAACCCTGTCAGAACGGAGCGGGGAGGTTGTCTCCCCAGAGCTCCTCACCTCTCTATGGTCCCTTTCTGTGGCCATCTTCTCAGTAGGAGGTATGATTGGCTCCTTCTCAGTCAGCCTGTTCGTCAACAGATTTGGCAGGTAAGTTGGGAAAAGGGTTTCAAGCCATTAGGGAATTTTTCCCTTCTACAGTGGAGTGTTGGGTAAGAAGAAGGGAGGAGGAGGAGGCAGTGGCCTGCGAGGAAGCAGGCATGTGTGGGCTGCAAAAAGAAAGGGTTGTAGGCCAAGGCGGGAGCTGAATGGGAATTACTGTTTTCTTACCACCCCGAGACTGGGGGGTCATGGGTAGGTTTACCCCTCTCCCAATGATTTTTCCCGCTGTATTGCCAGTTTAAACTCAGTCTTGACATCTTTACCCTGGCAGGAGGAACTCCATGCTACTGGTGAACATCTTGGCGTTTGCTGGTGGCACTCTCATGGCCTTCTCTAAGATGGCAAAGGCAGTGGAGATGCTGATCATTGGCCGCTTTGTTATTGGCCTCTTCTGTGGTCTCTGCACTGGCTTTGTGCCCATGTACATCAGTGAGGTCTCACCCACCAGCCTCCGTGGAGCCTTTGGCACTCTCAACCAGCTGGGCATTGTTGTGGGCATCCTGGTGGCCCAGGTAGGCTTGACAGTACCTGATCCTGCCCCCAGGGGAAAGGAGAGCTGGGGGAGGGTGAGGTGGGCTGCACTTGCCATCAGGTGTGGTATGTGGTCCTGTCATACTCACTGGTGTGGGGGGAAGGAACTGGAGTATTTAAATCCCTCTTTCTCTCCAATTCTTGATGTAGATTTTTGGCCTGGAGGCAATCATGGGGACTGAAGTGCTTTGGCCGCTGCTTTTGGGGTTCACAGTCCTCCCAGCAATCCTGCAGTGTGTGGCTCTTCTTTTCTGCCCTGAGAGCCCTCGTTTCCTGTTGATCAACAAGATGGAGGAAGAGAAAGCGCAAGCAGGTAAGAACTCATCTCTGAAAAGGCAGGGCTGTATTCTGGCTCTCATCCTTCACTGAACTTGAGTGGGAGGCCAGGACTGGCTCTGGAGCCTGTGATGGATCAGGGTGTGAGTCCCAGAGGGCACCAGATGTTACCCTCCCATCCTTTAGGTTGCACCAGTGCCAGGAAGTGTGAGAAACCTGACATCCTAACAGACTCCAGGTGGGATTAAGATGTGATGAGTGGCACATGGCCTGGTGTGATGTTGCAGGGCCAGCTGCTGCAGCTCTTGTCAGACTATTTCCTGCCTTTCAGGAGGACTTGACATTTAACAAGGAGCTTGGAGGGTGTTTCTCTCTCCTACTACAGAGGGCTCGAGTCAGTTGTGGCAAGTGTGTGAACAAAATTAAGGATCAGATAGAAGTTTGGAGATCGAGCAACATGAATGGGACCTGGGCCTGGTTTCCATGCTGATCACAGCACCCCAGCCTCTGGGTTAAAAAGATGAGCAAGGCTGCATGTAGAGGCTCAGTCTTTTCCACACAGCAGGCACAGACAGTAACTGGCAGGTGGTCTAGCCTTCAGAGTGTGCCCTCTCTGAAATAGCAGGGTGGTGGTGGGTAACCTACTGGCTGTGGCTCTATTATATGTGGCATTTTTGGATTCCTCCAGTTCTCCAGAAGCTCCGTGGCACACAAGATGTGTCTCGAGATATCCTGGAAATGAAAGAAGAGAGTGCTAAAATGTCCCAGGAAAAGAAAGCAACTGTGCCAGAGCTCTTCCGTTCTCCAAGCTACCGTCAAGCCATTATCATTGCCATCATGCTGCAGCTCTCCCAACAGCTCTCAGGCATCAATGCTGTGAGTTACATTCCTGTCCCATCTGCTTGGCCTTCCTTATCTCTGGTTACACTTCACTTGCCACTAGTGTTGAGAGAACTGTGCTTCCAAAAACCTCTTTGCATCTTGGCTGGAGGTCACTGCTTTGTGATACTGCAGAGATTTGCCAAAATGGAAGATGGAGATTATATTGGCTTTCACTTTCCCCGTGCACCCTTGCAAGACATTGCAGCCTTGCACCAAGTGAATGAACCTTGACTGGAAGCATGCTGTTTTATACTGTTGAGTGCTTCTTAGAAACTCCCTGTTGGGCCTGCAAGCCATTAGGCAGAGAACGAGGGACATGCTCTCAAACACTGGAATTGTGATGGTATCCAACTTTTGCTTCTCTTCCCAGGTATTCTATTATTCTACAGGGATTTTTGAAAGAGCTGGTATCACACAGCCTGTGTATGCCACTATTGGAGCTGGTGTGGTAAACACTGTCTTCACTGTTGTGTCGGTAAGTGGAATGGGGCCTTAGCGTGAGAGGTAACTTGTCTGCCTGGGCTTCTCTGGGAGATGTGACTGAAGACAAGTAGCCAGGCTGTTGCAAAGCTAGGCAATGGCCTATAAGAGCAAAGAAAAGAATGCATTAAAATTGTTGTGGGAGGAGAGGAGAGAAAGAGGTATTGTACTTCTGGAAGAAAGGGAGGGTGAAAAGGAGTGCATGAGGGAAAAGAATGGAGAGAAGGCAATAGTAAAGAACCAGAGAGGAAAAACTTGTGCCAAGGGTGGAGCAGCCTGGTGACCTGCACTGAGATCACTACTGGCATGGAGAGTTACAAGTAGATAAGAGAGGTACAGGGCACACTGAGCCGGAAAGCTCCTTCTGCTCTTGCTGCAAAAGTCATGGATTTTTTTTCTTCTGCCATGTTTCCAGCTGTTCCTGGTGGAGCGTGCAGGGCGTAGGACCCTCCATTTAGTTGGTTTGGGTGGCATGGCTGTGTGTGCTGTTCTTATGACCATCGCTTTAGCTCTGAAGGTAAGTGATGTTCTTGTCCAGGCTGACCTTAGCAAGGGACCTATGTGCCTTGCCCTGCAATTCTGCTGTCTAGGCAGGTACAGCTTGGGCTAGAGCTGAGTGTACAGTAGAGAATGCAATTTCCGAACTGTGGAAACTGTGCCACAGTGTTCACAATGCAGCTGAGAAAGCTGTGACACTGGACATGGTATTGTGCTGTGTCATGTTTGCCTCAAATTGCAGCTGATCATGTTTTATTTCCTTGCAGGACATTGTGGAGTGGATCAGATATATCAGCATTGTTGCCACTTTTGGCTTTGTGGCTCTCTTTGAGATTGGCCCTGGCCCTATCCCGTGGTTCATTGTGGCAGAACTTTTCAGCCAGGGCCCACGGCCTGCAGCCATGGCAGTGGCTGGTTGTTCCAATTGGACGTCTAATTTCTTGGTGGGAATGCTCTTCCCCTATGCAGAGGTAAGGACCCAGTTTGCAAAGCACTGTGAGAGTGCTGCAGCGTTGGAATAGATGTCCAGAGTGGTTGTAGAGTCTCCATTCTTGGAGTCTCTGAAACGTGACTATATGACCCTTAAGGACCTGATCTCTCCTTGAAGTTGTCCCTGCTTTGAGCAGAGGGCTGGTCAGTCTTCCAGAGCTCCCTGATTCTGTGTTCTGGTTGTTACTGAAGGTTAAGAGTGTTGTGGCTCACCTTATATTCTGCTGTTAACTCCTTGTAGCTTGCAAATAGTTGGAGGAGCCATCTTAATTAGCACATCAAGGCTTTCCCTTTTAAAAGCCTCGATTTTGGTCGCCCCCAGGAACAGCAAAGCATTTCTGAAGCCCACAGCACCTGATTTCATTTAAAATTCTGCTTTGGCAAGAAAAAGTCAGTAAGGGTGTTGTTGGAGAAAGGTGTTAGAATTTTGACCTGTCAGCAGCAAATGACCTTGCATTTAGGTTTATTAGCTTTTTGAATTAAAACCTCCTGCTTTTGTCCTCCCTGCAGAAACTATGTGGCTCCTATGTCTTCCTCATCTTCCTTGTTTTCCTGGTCATCTTCTTTGTCTTCACGTTCTTCAAAGTGCCAGAGACCAAGGGCAGGACTTTTGAAGACATCTCCAGGGGCTTTGAAGGACGAGCAGAAGTCAGCCCCACATCACCTGTAGAGAAGAACCCCATGGTGGAGCTGAACAGCATACAACCTGACAAAGAAGTTGCCTAAGATTCATGACACACCCTTTCTTTGACTCTTACTTGCTTAATGAGTCATTAAAGGAATGAGCAAAGAAAACCATGAGAACTGGGACTTTTTCCCCTCTCTATTGCTGCTATTTCAATCTCTGCACCCACATACTCGCCCATTCTGCCAGGCTTACTAGCATTAAGCAAATCTGATGTGGGTGATCCCGTTTTCAAGTACTGGAAAGCACCTGGCACTTGAAAAATAATCTCATCTCCCCTGTCACAAACATCAGGAGAACAAAGAAAAGCTGGCAATATTCTTGCTTTTCTCACCTGTAATTGCTGTTTGAGTTTAACATACTTATGCACGCAGTGACCATAACGTATTTGAAACTAATTACTATTTTTGTAGTGAGTTGAAGTGACCCACTAAACAGGTCCCTGGCCCTTTGAGTCTACTGTGTGTGCAGTGTTACACTGGAATTTAACAAGCCTACCAAAAAGCCATCTCCTTGCTTTTTCCTATCCAGTGTGCACTTTTTTCAGCCTCAGGAAAAAGGGGACCAAGTTACATGCATATTCCTGCTCTTTTATTTTTTTGTATAGACAGACTGAAAGCATTCTTTTACTTAAGTTTATTTATTTGTATGTCATTTTGTAAATATATATTTTTTTAATGGTGTAAAAAATGTACAGATAATGAAATTGAAGATGTTTAAGAAATAGCTATTCTAACAAAAGATGCTGTAGACTTGAGGTGCAATAAGACTGTAAAGGAGAAGTGTGGTACTAAATGGGAGACTGGGCATTTTGGATGGTATGTACAACAGAGCCAGTTATGCACATCACTTCTAAGTTATTTGTGCCCTCTGGAAAGAAATTCAAAGAATTCCATACTAGTGAGAAGAGGTCTGTTTCTTTGCCCACCAAAATCTCTGTTTGGGATTTTTTTCAGGTGGCAATTTTAAATCTTGTTCCCAAGCGTTGATTGGAAAGTGTGGTATTGCAGCAAATGGGTATTGTTAGTTTATATTATCAGTCATGGTTAAGCATTGTATGGAATGATTGAGGGTGGTGATGACAAACCAGAAGGTAAATTTTCCTACCTTCTCTTAATTTTATTATTTTGGTTTCTCTGCTGTATTCTGTTAGGTCAGAAAGTCTGAAATTTGCAGATTGCTACTTAGGGTGTGCGAGGATAAAAATTATTTTCTAAAGCTGTATTTTCTTAGCAAATGTTATTATAAATATTAGAGGCATGTAGCATGACCCTTCTGGACAGAGGCACGGTCAGCTATGGCATGTATAGATTTATAAAGGTAGAGATACAGGACTAGAGACCAGAGCTACTTCAACTTGCTAGCTTAGTGTGAAAGGTCTGTAGTGCTCAGTCCACTGGTTGATTGCAGGCCAAATATTTATGCCTTGTGTGTCTTTTCTGGAAGATCTGCATGATGTTGTTGTGATGCTCACCAGTGTGCAGCATGCTGTGTGGATGTGTACAGCCCTGTAATAGTGGTTCTGTTGAAAGGGATATGGCAGACAGTAATCGTACATGTGTAAATATTGGTCTCCCTGCTTGTCATACTGCTAGGCAATGCAGAGTATGTATACACCTACTCTTGCTGCTAAGCTAGCTCAGTCCAGCAAGGCAAGGAGTAGCACGTATGATATACCCTGCAATCAATGGGTGGGAGCTTTGCTTCGCTGACTGCAGCGCTATGAGAGAGACTCCAGGCCTGTGTCTGTCCAGACCTTGCACAAGCTGTATAAAGGTAGCACAGAGGTAGGTCCAATTTAAGGTCCTGCTCTAAGATCGTCTGCATTTTCAGACTTGATCAAACTCTGGTCTATCTGCGAACTTATGCTGGAGTTCATCGCTGGATATCCTAGAAGAGAGGCAGGCCCACAGATTCCAAGGTGGGTAAAAGGAAGAAAGGCTCAGGAATGCAAGAATGATAGCAGAATTGTCATAGCATGGATAGCCCAAGCTTTCTTGACAACATACTTCTTCAGAGCAGGTCTGAGAATTTCCTATTGGTGTATATTCTGGGGGTGTGTGTCTGGCATTTTCAGTAACTACAGTGATGACACTTCTACCTTCCATAATAGAGTTGCAAAGATCAGTAAGATTTGCTGCTGTGAAATACTTCCTGTGACTTCATTTGAAATACTCCAGCTTTGCACATGCAATCCTATTATATCCAATTTTCCCTAGCTTTCTATCAAGCTTCAATGCCAGATACTTATTCTCGGAAGTATTACATGTGACTTCTTTCCCAACTTTCATGTTTTGGTTCGGTTACATGTATTTGTGTCCTTCCCCCAGAACTTCCAGACATATTTCTATATGGGCATCTATATCTTAGGAAGTTCCACTTACAGCTGTGCATAAGAGCATTCCATACTTTGCATCAGAGATGTGTGTTGGCTTGGACTGAAATGTGTAGGTCTTTCTCACATGGTATCTCTTTGTTAAATTTCTTTTTCTGTAACAGCATTGTGAATATTTTGGATGGGTTTTATATGCTTATTAATGTGGTTGTTTCCTGTTTTGAAAATAAAAACTACAGAACTAAGTACCTGGTTTGGATTTTACCTTTACCCTGTAGGTATTCTGTTTCTTACTCCTTTATCACAGCCTGGGACTGCACCCTGGAATGTCACTGACTTCTGCACTGCAACCATTCTGGCTAGCCCAGCAGCCTGGGTTTGCTGTTTTATTCTACTGGAAATGACAATTTCTCTCAGCCTCTATGCATGTCACTGTAATAAGTTACCTTACTACTATTCCTTAGGCGTTTTTAAATGAAAAAGATGTGCTTCTCTGGCTCTTGTTTGCTCAAATCCTTTCCCAGTATCTCTCAGTAACAGGAGGGGAGAGGGAAGTGGCTGGAGGTTAGGAATCCTGCCCAGAGCTATACCACCTGAGACTTCTGCCCCTGAGTGGTCCTCAGCTTCCCTGTTACAAAGATGAAGAGGGAGCCCCTCCCCCTGTAAGTTTGTGGGTGTTTTTTTTTTTGCTCCCTCTGTCTGGCAAGTGACCTTAATCTCCTCCTCAGAAATGTTGCCTGTGTGTGCGCTCTACTGTGTGCCCGACAGGAGCAGGGTGGTGAAGAGGAAACACCAGTGCTTGGAGAGACCAGTCCCCAGGAGCTGCCCCCTTACCCCAGGGGTGAGGCCTTCCTGACCCACTGGCTGGTTTGTGGGGTGCGCTCATCCATGGCTCTCTTGCCTAGAGAGTACTGAGCACTCGCCTATTGCCACAAGGCAACAAACTCTTATTCTAGTCCTTTCCCTGCCGTACAGCCATCTGACAAACCCAGAGAGTCTAACTGTGTTTCACAGGCAGAAGCTATGAGAACAGTTCATCATGAAGTAAGGAGGTAAAATGTCCTTCAGAGGAAGAGGATGGAGGGAAGTGAGAGGAAGGAAAAGATGACAGAACCCAAAGTACTCTAGAGGAAGAGTCAGGCTAATACAATTCCAGAGTCAGCAGACTGGACAAAGTGACCAGGAAACTAGGAAAAAGTGTGAAAAAGCCCAGCATAACACACAGCCAGTATAGGCTTTCTGAACCCTAATGTTACAGACTGCTGCACATTCGTAGCTTATGCCTGTGTTTTGCGAAGTTTGCTATGCAACCAACCTCAGAGCTGGGGAGTGCTCTGCACTAAGCTGTGTATGATTGTTTTTCAACTCTGGCCGAGTTGTTGGAAAAAAAAAATATCCCCAGCAATCCAAACTCAAGTTTATCTAGGTCAGACTTAACTCTAATTTAATTTCTGTTTTGTTGTCAAAATGAGAATTGGAGAGCAAGATCATTTTAGGGCCAAAGCATGCGATTCACTGAGCCCTAAATTAATGTTTTATATAGTTTTTGTGATAAACCTTTGGTTGGGGAATGAGTATTTTAGATGTGGTTATTCTATTTCTGAAAGTTGTAAGGAAGCTTCAAAAGGAAAATCTGCTTGCAATTAAATGGTTTGAGTGCTTGAAGATGGGTTGTTTTCAGTTGAAACTGTTAATCATATTCAAGCAAGCATGCAGGCAGCTCTTATGGCCACCACACTCCCCCCCCCAAAATGTCATTCAACTCTGGGAGGGGGTGGCAGAGCTAGCTTGGAAAGGTATGTCTTTGAGACTACCCACAGACCTTTGCTCTGGCTTGCAGTGTGTAAGTGGCACTGCAGAGACCCTCAAAGCATTGCATAGGCCTCTGAAAATCAAGCTAGCCCCCCAGAGCTGAGTGTGGGGTTAAGGTTCAGCTGCAACGGGCTTTTTTTCCTGCTAATAGCCCCACATTACCTCCTGGGCATACTCTGAGCTGGTAAAGTATCACCCTTGGAGGGAAGTAAAACACTCCAAGTCTCCGCATCCCGCTCCCTAAGTGGATCTGAAATGGAAGTGAGGGAGGAAGGAAGCAAGGGACCACAAAAGGAGAGTATGATAATGAAGGAAGTAAAAATTTAATCACAGTATAAGTCTTGGAGGAAAACCCCTCCTTTTGCCACTTCCCTTCTCTTTGCCCAACAACCTACATTACAAAACTTGTGAGCTTCTTCGCACCTGCTCACATGTCATGCTATTGGCAAAGACAGAGTTCACGCCAGATCAGGAACACTCTGGATTCCATCACTGTTCCAGTGTGTTCCCGATCTAGGCAGCATTGACTGAGGTGTAACCACTGGAAAAATCCCAAATGGCATGGAAAGTTTTGACATGTCTGTAGAACCAGAAGGCCCTAGGATATATACAAGTAGTTAGATCATTGGAGAACCCTTCTAGGAGAGAAACCACTGCTGAGTGGATAAGAGAAGATCCCCAAGTGTCACAAGTGGTATCAGCCGCGTCAAAGGTTTCAGTCCATTTTACAGGCTGGAGCATGATAAAGAGTGTCATGGTGTCACTGCTAACATTTGTCACTTTTTGCATGTATTATTTCTGATGAACATATTCATGTACCAGACAAGAAAAGCAGTTAATTTCTGTGAGAAGAAATGTGAAAAAAAACACTTTATTGGAGGTAGATTTCACTGC